ACAGCTCTAGGCGATTGATATGCCAATGCAACTGGGCACCCTTCCACAGGCCCGCAGCCGCATGCCCGCGACACACGGCCCCCCAACCCGTGTTGGAAGCATCTGTTGAAACAACAACATGTCTGGACGCCTGTCCTAGAGGCACACCGGCCTGTAGGAACGAGGGGTCGTTCCAAGGGCTGAGGACGCGGCGACACAGCGTAGTAACAGAGACCCGGTGTGTGCCCGCGTGACATGCGCGTCTTGGGACCCGATCGTGAAGCCAGTGCTGAAGTGGTCTCATATGGAGCAATCCGAGCGGCATGACGGCGGCTGCGGATGCCATATGCCCCAGGAGCCTCTGAAAGAACTTCAGTGGGATCACTAGTTTGCTGTCGAGCTCCCTCAGACAGTTCAGCAACAGGCGAGCGCGTTCCTCGGAGAGGTGCGCTACCATGGTAATCGAGTCCAGCTCCATCCCGAGAAAAGAGATCCTCTGCACGGTGGCGAGTTTGCTCTTTTCTCGGTTGACCTGAAGCCCCAGTAGGCGGAGATGCCGAAGCACCTTGTCCCTGTGCACAATCAATTGCTCCCGCGAGTGGGCTAAAATCAGCCAGTCGTCGAGATAATTGAGTATGAGGAAGCACCCTCCTCGAGTTTGGTGAAGACCCGCGGAGACAGAGAGAGCCCGAAGGGGAGGACCTTGTACTGCCACGCTCGACCCTCGAACGCAAACCGCAGAAATTGGCGGTGGCGTGGAAGAATGGAGACATGGAAATACGCGTCCTTCAGGTCTATGGCTGCAAACCAATCCCGAGGACGGACGCATTGGAGAATGCACCTCTGCGTGAGCATTCTGAACGGCAGCTTGTGCAGACAGCAGTTCAAAACGCGCAGATCTAGGATTGGTCGTGACCCACCGCTCTTTTTGGGTACGATGAAGTATGGGCTGTAAAACCCACTCTCCATCTCGGCTGGAGGAACCGGCTCGATTGCACCCTTCGCCAGGAGGGCAGCAATCTCCTCTCGCAAGACAGGGGCGGACAGGGGGTTGACCCTGGAGAAATACACGCCCGTGAACTTGGGGGGCCATTTTGCGAACTGAATCGCGTAACCGAGTCTGATTGTGCGTATGAGCCACTGCGAGGGGCCGGCCCGCGCTAACCAGGCAGGCAGAGTCCTCGCTAATGGAGTCATCGCTACAATCGCTGACGTACCAGCGGTGGGGTAGCGCGGAGTAGGTGTCCTGATCCGGGAAGCACGAGGGTCCCTCGGAAGAGCTGGAGGAGAGCGACTCGCTCTGGCTCCGCACCCTGACTCCGGAGAGGGGGCTGGAGGGCTGAGGGAAGGGAGACCGTCCCCCCAGCGCTCGTGAGCCACTGGCGAAGCACGTAGAATCTGCGAGCCGGAAGGCAGCGCGTCCCGGACTGGCAGAATTCATGCTGTCACATCCGGGGAAGGGGAAAAGTGCTCTTTGGTTGATGTTTTGGTGGCACTGAAAAGTACCGTTGTAATCGGGGCCCCGCCCTCCAGCGGGGAAAGAGCAAGTTTCCTCATCTCCGGATGGCCTGTCTTAGGGACGCTTCGCGGTCTGTTTGCCGGACTTAACGGCGCCCTGGGCAGGGGGGGCTGCCTGCTTTCGAGGTGTACGCCGCGCCCGCTTGGCCGGAGGTGCAGGCGGGGGCGGGGCAGCACTCGTTGGCGGGTGCCCTCGGCGAGGAACAGCGGAGATGGATGGCTCGGCGGGCGGAGCGGGCTTACGGCCACGCCGATAGATGACATTGCCCATCGCATCCGACTGCTCTTTCACCGCCTTGAATTCCTGGGTGAATTCACCGACGGTTTCGCCGAACAGGCCAGCCTGGGATATGAGCGAGTCAAGAAAGGGAACTTTGTCAACATCGCGCATATCAGCCAGGTTTAGCCAGAGGTGGCGTTCCTGAACCACAAGTGTGGACATCGTCCTCCCCAGCGCACACGCGGCGGACTTAGTAGTCCGAAGAGCATAGTTGGTCGCGGTGCGCAGCTTATATAATAAGCTTGGGTTAGACCCGCCCTCGTGCAGCTCGGCCAGCGCCTGCGCTTGGTAGCGCTGGTAGGTGGCCATCGTGTGCAAAGCAGAAGCAGCCTGGCCCGCAGCCTTATAAGCTCTGGCTCCGAGGGAGGCAGACAACCTACAGGCTTTGGACGGGAGGCGGGGCAAACCGCGCCACGTAGAGGCGCCGCGCGGACAGAGATTGACCGCGATAGCGCGCTCCACTGATGGAATCGCCTCATACCCCCTGGCAGCTCCGCCGTCAAGGGCGGTGAGGGCGGAGGGACACGCAGCACGGGCAGAGAAAGGTGCCCTCCAAGACTGCGTGAGCCTACTGTGCACTTCCGGGAAGAAGGGGACAAGAGGCTTTGAAGGCTTCGCCTTCTGGTCCTCTACAAAGCACCCATCTAGTCGGTCCAGCCGCGGAGCTGGGGGATAAACCAGCTCCAACCCCACGGCCGAAGCAGCCCGGGAAAGCACGGCTAAAATGCCCGCTTCAGGATCAGGATTTGACGGCGCTCACCTGCCCGGAGGGGGCAAGCGGGTCCGGATTTTCGTCGGACAGTGAAAGCCCACCCTCCGATGCCGCGGAGGACATCTGATCTCCGATATCAGCGAGTGTGACAGCTACCATTTGGTTAGACGGATCACTCCCACTACCCGAAGCTTGGATGGAGCGCCGTGAGGAGCGAGAGGTCCGCGAGCCCGTGGGCGGTGGATTATCTCCCACTGGAACCCTCAGATCTGCCCGAGCGCCCGCTGCTTTTTTAGAACAGGAGGCAACTGGGGTGGCTCGCTCTCTTACGAAAGTTAGCCGCGATCTTAGCTGTGCAACGGTCATGGCATCGCATTGACGACATGAACCTCCCGCGAGCACCGCATTAACATGCTGGACCCCCAAACATGCAATGCAGTGATCGTGTTTATCATCCGGAGCCAGGAAACCCCCGCATCCAGAAACCCACAGCGCCATCCTGAAAAGGACGTGCTGCACGACTGTGTTGCTCTTTTAGGAAAGTTGCAACAATACGGACCTCTCTGGAGGACCAGACCCAAAAAACCGCAGGCAAGGGAGAAACCCAACTCGGCCGTCTGCCGCCGCGAAAACCCACTCTGGACCGGGAGACACTCGTTCACTCTGAAGTGCTGAACAGCAAGAGGAACCCTCATCGACTCACTCAGAAAGGATCTGAAGCGAAAAGGATGGCGTTTGCTCGCTTCAGGTGTGCTTATATGCTTGGATAATTGGCGATGCAGCACACCTGCGCAAGCTTACGCTGCCAATTAATTTTCATTCATTTGCCCATTCAATACTCTCCAGACAAGCAGCTTCTGATCCGAATCTCCCATTCGTGGATTTCAATCAATCCACTCTATGGCACTGAAGTTCCCCAACCGAAGGGGAACTTTGGATAATGTATGATGGGAAAAAAGTGTGAGAGCGTGGAGTCTATTCAACATTAAGCATATATAAATCTGTTACAGATGCTGTGAATTGAAAATTTTCCATGTCACTTTTCAATTTAATAATGATTGATTAATTGTATTGTTTGCTGTCCGTCATATACTACTACTACTACTTCTACTACTACTACTTCTACTACTACTACTACTACTACTACTACTACTACTACTACTACTAATAATAATAATAATAATAATAATAATAATTATTATTATTATTATTATTATTATTATTATTATTAATACTTTCATTATTATTATTGTTATAATATATTGTTATTATTTATTTATTTATTTTTATTTTTTTTATTACATTCATTCATTTTCTTTTCGGCTTAGTCCCTTTATTAATCTGGGGTAACCACAGCGGAATAAACCGCCAACTTATCCAGCACGTTTACGCAGTGGATGCCCTTCCTGCTGCATCCCTTCAGTGGGAAACATCCATACACACTCAAACACTACGGACAATTTAGCCTAGCCAATTAACCTATGCCACATGTCTTTGGACTGTTGGTGAAACCGGAGCGCCCCGAGGAAACCCAAGCAAACGCGGGGAGAACATGCAAACTCCACACAAAAAATGCCAACTGACCCAGCCGAGGCTCGAACCAGTGACCTTCTTGCAGTGTGGCGACAACACTACCTACCTCGCCAATATTAAAATAAATATTTTAAATATTTTGATTTATTTTGTTAGACATTTATCATCTTCAAATGAGGCCTTTGCACTAGGGCTGCACAATAGTTTCAGCATTGATATCGCAATGTGCATGTCTGCAATAGTCACATTGCAGGATATGCAATGTTCCGTTTTTATGTTTGGATTATATTTGAGCATAATAATAATTCGCCTTAATTTTGCAAACATGACATTTGTGAAATTTACCCATTGAAAGTGTGTAAGTTTATAAAAAGTTTATTGTTCGCAAGTGTTTTTAAAACCTTTGACTTTGCATCAGGCACAAGAAAGTGTACTTTTTCTAAGCTTAATAAAGATTTATTATATTTAACTACTCACAATGTAGATTATACAGTGAGTTTTTACATATTAATTTTCTGTACCTTAATACTGTTTGGCTCCCCAGAAAACCCTAAAGCTCTTATTATTATTATTATTATTATTATTATTATTATTATTATTATTATTATTATTATTATTATTATTATTATTATTATTATTATTATTATTATTATTATTATTATTATTATTTATTTATTTATTTATTTATTTTACTTTTTTCCCCGTTTGTTTGATCTATTTATCTATACTGTTATATTACAGAAAAACTTTTCCTTTAATATCATGCAGCCCTACTTTGCACACTCCCCCAGGCTTCATCTTTGGTGACCAATTGCATTTAATGCATGATTAAAACATTTAGTGTTGACATTAGATTGAAATTCAGTGGTTTGATTCACCTTTGTGGAAATCCATCAAACTCAAACCACATGCAAAGGTTTTTTGACACTTCTTAAAAATGACTCCTTCCCCCATCACCCCCCCCCCCCCCACACATAGGATGGACGTCTACGTATCAATGACCAGCTGATTGCTGTTAATGGTGAGCCGCTTTTGGGGAAGTCCAATCATGAGGCCATGGAGACTCTGCGAAGATCAATGTCCATGGAAGGGAACCTGAGAGGAATGATCCAGTTGGTGGTTCTTCGTTCAGTGCTACCACCTAACCAGGTATGTTCTTTTCTCTAGAACAGTGTTTCTCAACCATGTTCCTGGAGGACCACCAACACTGCATGTTTTGGATGTCTCCTTTGTCTCACCCATTACAGGTCTTTCACTGGTTTGGTCCAAGTTGGTTTAGGCAGTTGATCAAGTCAAGGAACCAAAACTGACCTTTTAGAGGCCTGGTTGAACCGTATAATCATAACACAGCATGAGCAACCAAAAAAAACAGCATGAACTTCCAGTCATTTTTTAACTCACAGGTGTTGAACATATGCTCTGTGTCATTTTCCTTCTTTTTTTCTACCGGGATGATGGATATGCTCTTAGACTGTGCACACAGCGGCAGATCACATCAGTCAGTCTTGTTTTACAGTGCTCAATACAGAATTTAGTTATGAACAAAAGTGACACCTACATTCTTTAACAAAGCAACCAGTTCACAGGACTTAAAACCACATTTTGAGAGTGAAAGAATGCATAAATGCAGCAGCAGTGAATGCCTAGTGTGTAGTGATTGTCATCTTTATCTTTTATTTCCTAAAAGCTTTTAGAAAGTGTTGAAAGCAGCTTAACATTGAAGTTCTAGTAAATTGAAGCTGTTTCAGTCCAGTGTTTAGAGTTGATTTTTCAGTTTAGTTCAGTTCAGTGTAGTTTAATTTTAGCTGCAGAAAGTCCAAACACTGAAGAGCAAATCCATTGATGCACAGCTCCACAAGTCCATAACCAAGCAAGCCAAAATTGTGACTGTGTATTGTCTCTCTTGTCACTCTATGTATGCATGCAATTATATATATTTTAATATTTTATACATTTTGTTCAGTCAATTTAAGTATTTTTAAAAACAAAGTTCTCAAATATTCTGGTAAAAGTTGCTAAACTGTAAATAATAATTATTTTTTATTAACTCAGGAGTTATCATTCGTCAATATTTGGGCATATATCTTCAATTGTATCTAAATATCTCTCTCATTTAATATTATTCCAGTTTTATGTCCTAAAGAACTTCCTATGACTTCCATTCTTCTGGAAACCAGTTTTCAGTTTTTATTTCTTACAAAATAAAGAAACGAGTTTGGAACCATTTGATGGTCAGTAAATAGTGAGTAAATTTTTATTTGTGATTGAACTATGCCTCTAAGTATTTAACTATTTTAGTGTCCACTGCAATTTACTACATATGGTTCAGTGCATAAGTACAAATGTCCAAGTGATTGAAACAGAACTACAAAACAGTTTTAAAAGATGGATTAATATGCAAATACACCATTGCTAGTTTTTAATTTTATAAAACATGTTATTTGATTGCATACAGAGAAAAAATAAATAAAAAATACCAATTATATATATATATATATATATATATATATATATATATATATATATATATATATATATATATATATATATATATATATATATCAGACAAAAATATTACCAGTAATATTTCTCAGTTAAAAAGAGTCCAGAGACATCCCTAGTCATAGTCATTACTGCTGATATTTACTGGCTATTTCTTTCTTATTAGTTATTATATTATATTGATTATTTAGTCATTCAGACAGTGTTCAAGTTGATTCTATAGGCTTTTGTAGAAACTGGACAGTCTGTAATTTGGCCCAGTTATTGGTACACTATGCTCATCAAACCCAGTCACTGACTGTGTAAATAAATGTATAGTAATACATTCTCAACTCAGCTCAGTGGTTATTCTATGAGTTTTTATGACCATATTCTACATTTATCTATGAATTAAAGTTGAGTTATGGTGATTGTTTAAGTTGGACTGATTCCTGTTCTTCTGTCATGTCTTTTTCTCTTACATGTACGTGCCTACTAGTGCCAGAAGATCTCACAAGGTCACAGTTTAACACATTTATAAAACTGAGATCTCCATGTCTCCCCACCCACCACATTAAGACTCCCATGCCAATAGCACAATGATGTAGTTTCAGATATTTAAACAACACTGTAACCATAATAAAACTGGCAGAGTGAACAAAAAATATGCAGTGAATGTGATCCTAGGTTAAAAGATGTTACATTAGTAAACTGACATTTAGATTTTACTCTACACAAACATTTAAGTGTATTCCTGTGCCAACATTTAAATAAAAAATAGGTAAATTAATATATATGTTTTTCCATAATAAAGTGAAAACAAAAAAAGTCAGAATTGTGAAATGTTATCAAACGTCTGAGAGTCAGAATTCAGTAAACAAAAAGTTTAGCATTCAAAAATTATTAGATTTTTTAAGTAAATATCTCACAATTTTGACATTTTCATAATTTTGCAAATACGGTTTTTATGGAAATGCAACAAAAAAAATGTTACATTTTATCTCAGACTTCAGAACTCAGAAATGTAATATGCATAATTCAACCTCTATTAATACAGTCTGAGGCAAATCATGCTTGGAAATCTGCTGAGACTAATTTAGTTTAAGTTCAGTTTATTAAAATAATTTATTGAGTCCATGCAATTTTTTTTGCTAAGTGCAATTAATGCAGAAACTCATTTTTATTGAAACAGTGAGTGGTAATACATTAGTCTAGACATCCTTTTTATTTGTCAACTTGACAGTCATTTGTCAGTTTAGAACCAGGCTGCAGACAGATGCTCGCCATATCATAAAAGCTGTTCAGAATGGCTGGTAATTGTCGCTAGTTGTTCACATCCTTAAACTTTCTCCATCATTTCCTCAGCGCTGGTGGAATTTGCCTCCAGCAGGATGTTTTAGCCTTTTCTCCTCCCCTGCACCTGGGTTAGAAAGCGGCCATATGCTCACCCCATGATTCCGTCTATACATTCCCCCCCCCCCCCCCCCCCCCACACACGTGCTGACACACTCCACCCCAAGGCCTCCAACTGCTCCAAAGTGCTGTGTAATTAGGCTACACAATGAAGCAGCCCCTCTGGCCACATGGATTGATGGTTACTGGGGCTCTTTGTATAGGATTGACAGGCTGGGAGGGACGGGCACGGGCACGGGCAGACCAGGGTGTTATTGTTCTCATAAAATAAAGATTCATGTTCATTATACTTTATGGGCTGTGGACTTCCCCATCTTGGCTGCCAGTGGGGTGCAAAATGGAGATGCCATTGACCCTCCTGTGCAGAGGTGGGATGAGATACTAGTTGGTGGAGGGATAAAAGGAGAAACGCATGAATGAATGAGGGACAGATTGTGACTTTGTTTGGACCAGGGCGCTTGTCGTTAGGTTTGGATCAATAGATCATGCAAGCCAGATGCAGGAGAATGAACTTTTGATCCTGAAGGTGGATTAATGGTGAAATATGATTTTTAGTGGCACAAATAAGAGCTTTGTGTTGTAATAAATGAAAAATACCCAGCAGGCACTGAGACTATATTGTTAAAGGATTTATTTCCTTATGTTATGTGGTTTTACTGTGCTAATGAATCCCCCCTTGTTGTAGCGTTTTGATTTTTTTTAGCTGTAATAAATAAAGTTCGAAAAGTTATCTTCTGGCCTGAAGCTCATTTTATTTCTTTACAAAGTTGCTTTTTTTGTCTGTTCTCTGGAGTCTGTGTGAGCTTCTGGGAATACACATGCTGATGTGTTCTTGCTGGAATCTGCTGTGTCCATATCTCCTGACCTAACTTGGCTAATTACGGGTACTTTCTTTGAGACATCAAAGAGCGGCTTCATGCACATACTCTCAATCCCAGGCCAGTTTGGGCTAATTCTCTAAAATCCATGGTAAAACAAGCACAGTGTTGAGAAGGAAGAGAAGAGATTGAAAACAAAATGGATAAAAACAGATATTGCCTCATTCTAAGGCTCTGGGATTTAAGGCTGTCTTAAAAATAAAAATAAAAAATAATACAAACAAAAAAGGTCCACCTAAAAGCTCTTTTAGATATTGTATGAGGTAGAGATAAGTGGTGTATTGTAATCACACACGCTTGTTTGTGAATTGTGGAGACATTTTTCCATGGTTTTTCTTCTGTACAAACTGTATTTTGTATTGCCCTAACCCTACCTTACCTCTAAACCCAACCCTTACAGAAAACTGTGGACAGTTTAACTTAATTAAAAAAATACAAAAAAAAAAAAAAAAAAAAAAACTCACTTTGTGTGATTTGAGAAATGAGGACATCAGCAATTGGCATCACAAGTATATATGTACACACAGCATTTCTGTCTGGTTTTTTAATCTAATTTTCTGAAAGCCATGCAATTTACTGCAAATAACAGCACTTGTCCAGCCTTTTCACCTTTTACCCTTGTGTATTCCTCCGCCCACATACAGCAACAAGCTAAGGACACCCTACAGTTTGACAAATATTGCTGCTGTTGGGCAACATAATGTACTTTTGAGGTTTTTTATTTAAGAATGTAGTTGTTTAGATTGCACCTATTTTAATTATTTATAAGGATTGTGCCTATTTTAAATATTTATCATTTCTGAGAGACAGCGTGTCAACAGCCATTAGCCTGTCATTGAGCGTAGCAAAGACGGTTGACGCTTCCCATCCACAAGATGGTGACAGAGACCAAACAATAAGCCCTTAGATGAAAAAAAAAAAACAGCGTAATTTCTCACCACACTTTTTTCGTAATGCAAACACAGCAGTAATCTTGTAGTGTTCGCGTTATTTTGGCTTTTTTGGGGGTTAATTATTTGGATCTCCCGATTACAACAGAGAAATACTGGGACATCTTTGTAGACTGATGGCATTTCACGATGTTCAGCCTTACAATCTTAAAATGTGAGCAAAATCACCTGCTTTGTCATCACTTCAGACATTACGCTAGAGAATCATTCAAACACTTGCTTTAAAGTGACGTTTGTGAAGTAGCAGCAGTTTCTGCAGTTTACGTCAGCTGCAGATGTGAATGAATGACGGAAGAAAGAAGTTCCTCTTATAAAAGGACTCTAAATGTTTGATGTTCTTTTTTATATACATAATTATGTCGTCAAACTGGTGTATAACGGATTATCACACATGTAGCAGGGCAATATGGCTGTATATGGTCACTGG